TTCGAAAATCTAAATCGGGTTCTCGAATTGAAGAAGGATGGGATGCTCTCTTTTTTATTGCTATTTTCCTTAATTGTGGTGTTAAGGTCATCATTAAGATTTCTGTCATCTTAGTGTTTTTATAGTCGTGTGTATTTAGTGAATATGCTTTTCGAACTAGTGTTTCGATTCTTACTGCTATTTGCTTGATGGTTTCGTTTGGTAATCTGCGAATTTCATTACATAAAACTCTTTGTTGTTGTTTGTTTCTTTCGGAGTCAAACATTTTTGAAAATTCTTGTGTAAATCTTTTCCAGTTTGATTTTATTTCTTGAGGTAGTACTGAAAACCATTTTTGGGCTGCGCCATCTAAGGTTGTTTGTATTAACGCTGTGCGTCGATGTATCCAATTTTGATGTAGTGGCGTATTTATTGGTTCAGGTCCGATATTTAAAATCAGGTTTGCTGTTACTGCATTTAAATAGTCTTCTACAGAGTATTCAGGGTCTGTTCCTGTGAAAACCATTAAAGGTTTGTTTGATGTTATTGATGATCCACCCATAAGGTATGGATTCATTGTCATTTGTAATGATTCTGCTGCATTTGGCATTTGAGAAAAATTTGAAAGTTGGTTTCTTGTTATTTCATGTTGTTGAAGATAATATGGTAGTGGTATTTCATTTTGCATTTGTGATGGTTGATACGAGTGTGCAATCATTGGATTTTGTTGTTGAATTGGTTGAAAGGATTGTGTATTAATTGGATTTTGTTGTTGAATTGCTTGTTGATGTTGTGCATCTATTGGTTGTGGAGAAAAATTCCTATGATTTATACGTGTTTTCTGTATTCCTTGTCTACGATATTCTTGAGTATTTTGTGCAAATATATCTGGTTGTAGGAAATCTTCATCTGAGGATAAATAATCCATTTGATAAGATGTTTGTTTTTTATTTTTATTTTGTTGAAAAAATGGGTAATTTTCACTGCGATCCTGTGGAGGATTTGGTTGAAAATTATTTGAATTATATTGGGCTGTTGGGTTATCCCAGTTTCGAGGTTTTGTATATTGATTAAAATTCCTTTGTGGTTGATAATTTGTTTTTGACGGATGTGTATAATTATAATTATGGTCTGCAAAGTTGTTTCTAGTGAATGTTTTGCGTGTTTTTGATGGTATTGTCACGGGTTTGTATGTTTGATAATCCATATGTGAATATTTAGGGGCAACCGAAGGTTTTACGGTTGATTGTAAGGTTACCTGTGTTTGTGAAGGATTTGTATTTCTTGGTGTTGTTAAATTTGGGCGTATTGGTGAAATACTTTGTTGTGTAGTTGTTGTGTGTACAATTTCTTCATTTATGAAGTGTGATGGTGTCTGGATATCTTGTTGAGTAAGATTCCTAGTTCCATTGAGGTTTTCATTGTGTATGACTGTAGAGTTTAAACTATTATTTTGTGTATCGGGTAAAAATGTATTATAGTTTAATGGTGTTGCATCAATTGTTAATGGTATTACTCTTACATAGTCTCTTATGTAAGATATTGTACCTATTGCTTGACTTGAGATTGATTGTGGGAAGCTTATAAATGCGGGATGAGACCATTCGGGGTCCCAAACATAATCTGATTGTTCTGTGATAGCGGTTTCATCGTTCGAATTTTGGGGTCTAAAAAATTTTTTCTTGCTTGTGCAATTAAATCAATATTGTGTGTGAAATAATCTATTATGAACCATGCTAAAATTTTTTGTAAATCGTGTCTGGTATGTTGTGAAACGTCGTCTTTCGTGAAATTTTCTTTAATGACGTTCAAATAACTAGAGAGTAGTGTGATTTCATGTCGTACTCTTAAATGTTTAGATGTGTCTGTCGGTGAGACATTTGTTAATGGTAGTTCATTTTCTAATATTGAAATATAACTATATATTATTGCGAAAACTTCATTGGTGAAAATGGAGTTTGCTCTTTGTGAGTTATGGTATTGGATGCTTTTTATATATTCTGAAAAGACTTTTGAAAATTCTAAATCGAGATCGTCTGTTTGAATAGTATATGTTCTATTATTATGGTTTGGGGAAGTGAATTCTATAGAGTAGATTCCATACTGTTGTGTTATGTTGCATATATCTTTTAGATAGTGATCTATGATTTGTCTTTTGATTTTTACATCGGGGAACTCTGTTTTACATGGACTAATTCCGGGTTCAAATAAATTTATGAGTAAATTTTGACAAAATAAGTGTTGTCCTCTATCAGTATCTGCGTCTACTATAAAGGGAAAGATTTCATCATCATCTGGAGTTTCTTCACCTGGAGTGTGTGTTGAGCTCATTTTTTCGTTCGATGACTGTTAATATGTAATTATTAATGTGTCGAATTGGTTGATTCCAATTGTATAGATGTACTGGTTTGTGTTTGTACTGCTTTTTTATTCTTCTTTTTCCTCTTTGTGATGAATTTGAAGTTGTTTCTGAGTCAGAAAAATATAATTGATCGTGAAGTGGGTAATTTTTATCTACTGATTCTTTTAGTTTGTAAAGTTCGTCTAAACTGTTGGTTTCTGATTCTGAAAATGCGTTTCGATTCTTTGAAAATCTTTTTCGTGTTATTTGTCTTTGTTTAGTTATTATTTTTCTCTTTAGTGTTTGTCGTTTTGTGCGAATGTATCCAACTGTTTGTGTATGAGGTGTGATTACAAGGTCGTATTTTTTGTTATCTATTTCACAATTGTGTAAAATGATTGTTTGTTTATTTCCTAGGTTTTTAAATGACATAAGGTTTAGGATGACGGATGCAAAAGGTTGTTAAATGATTTCTATTTTCTTAAACTGTTAGTTCTTACGATTTTTTGGTTAGCTTAACCTGGGTCTTTTTGTTCAGGGTTGGAGAGAAAAGTATATCGATTCCGGAGAATGATTTTACTTTCTCGTGACTAGTATAAGCTAAGGTGTTAACTTACTTAATCTTACTTAAGGGAGTGATTGTGTTCAAGGGTTGGAGAATAGTAAATCGATCCACAAGGTTCAGGTATAATTAGAACGCGAGTAGTTCGTTAGGTACTATTTTAAACTTACTAAGTCTAAGATTTATCCTGGGTCTGGTAAGAGGGGGGGTCAAGTGAAGGATGAATAACCGAAGTTCTTCACTGCTTATCCTAATTTGAATGATTAGTTTTGTTTAAAAATTTCTATTAGTCTTGGGTTTTTAGAAAGGGTTGGATAGTGAATCGACGTTTGAGGTCGTTAGACACTAATTAAGTGGGTGGGGGAGAACAAAGTTGTTCTGTTTGATCCAAGGATAAGCCTTGATGATCAAATTTAAAATTTAATTAAGTAGAAAATGATTTAAGATCCAAGGATAAGCCTTGATGATCTGGTTTTAAAATTAAGTGACTTTAAGTTTTAATAATGTTTTAATTTGTGTAAAGTAAAGATTTAGTGTTTTTATGATATTAGTGGGTTTGATGATTGCTGTTATGTTTTAGGTGATGAAGCTGGAACAACAGGATGATTTATGATTACTAACCATTTATTGTCATGCTACTAATTTTTATTTTATTTTCCAATAAATATTTTTCAAACATGTTTTGTATAATACTGCAGAATTTTAAGAAAACGATCTTAGATCTTTTTATCAATCGTTATTGTATAATATTAATTTTGTTTAGCGCCTGAAATGATTTTGAAGATTAGCTTCAAGGTTTTATGTTTGCAAATGGAAATCTAAATTCATTGCAAGTAGTATTCGAAATATAAAAGTTTGTTCTGGCTTTTGCCGAACTATCATATAACTATACGGCAAGTTTCTACTTTGTCGTATGTCGTCTTTGGTTCGATGTCTTCTTCCAATTCCGGGTAGTTCTATTATGGTTCGGAATATTGGCTCTGATCTATTGAGTCGGAGAGACATTTCAATTAAATTATTGTCGTATAACATTTTGTAAATGTTTTTGTCTAATTTCTAATCTATTCTTGGTTAATTCTAATCTAATAAGGTCTTGTTCGAGACTTATGGTCGCACCAGATGAGTTATGACTGGGGCGTAACTCATAGAGTAATTTCGGATAGGGTACACCGTCTGCTCGTCACGCTATCTTATTTTCGGCCGGATAGATTCGTGCAACTTCTTAGTCTAATACCGATCCTAATCTTACTCTTATACTATCTAGTCTCAGGTTGTTTAACTAGTCTCTGCTAGGCTCAATAGATCTAGGGTATACTGGTTTATTGCGGCTGCTGAAGTGCTCGGGAGAGTCCAACTAATTTCTAAGTTAAATTCAAATCTCTCTGGTGCTGAAATTACAAGTAACTTCAGCACTTACAAATAAGTGGGTTGTTAGTTAGATGGATCATGATTGGTTAATATTAAATACTTTACATTGGTAAAACATTTAATTTATCCAATCATAAAATATAGTTTAGATCAGGTTCTTGAAGTCTGTAACGTGAATAACTGCGAAGTCAGGTTCGACTGTGCAAAATTTCCGACTGCTTTTCAGACAAATTTTGTTTTAGTATATCCGTCATTATGTTTGAGGCCCGTTGAAGCGTTAATTTTTTGTAGGAAATATTTCTAACAATAAGCTGAGACCTTTTTTGTCCTTCCAAGTGGTAAAAACAGTTGAAAAAACTTCAAAAATTGTTATTTTTGTCAGATTATCATTGTGCAAAATTAAAATTTTTTGGTCAATTCAATTTTTTGCTGTTCTTTCTTTTCGGTTATTTCCTAAAATTTTCCATTTTTATTCAATCTTTTTTTTGAAAATTTGTTTGTTATTAACGTTGGAAAGCAATCTTTTTTAAAGGTCAGGGACAGCCGCGGCGAACGATCAGATTCTTTTTGTTCAAACGATCAAAAGTGAGTTTGGTTTTTGGGCCAAATAGACGTCAATTACAATTTAATAAAAGAGGTTCCCATCTTTTCCCGATTTAATAACCACTTCCAATTTGTTTAACAAATTCCAATATCCTGGCAAAATAGTTTTATTTTGTCAAATATCTAATTTGGTTTAAATCTTATCAGCCTTCGGGGCATTATTTCCTGGAGTGTTAATCGAGCATTTCTTTTGTTCTCTTTGAAATCCCGAAAGATCTGAAAGAAATCTTATAATTGCTCTTGCATAATTTGAAAAACTCTTTTTCTTTCCATCGCATATTTGGTTTCTTTCGGTGCACTATTGGGGTAACCAATTAATTTTTCCTCAGTCAAGCGTGGTTTTCATCAAGTTATACAAAAAAACTGTCCCCTCAGGTGAGTTTCTTTCATCTATCATTTTCACATCATCGAGTTAAACTGAAAATCATCTAATATTCATGAGTCCAAATCAATCAAAATTGCCGGGGCAACAAGAAATGATTTTCACAGCAGCTTGTTGGAACATCCGGTAGTAGAATAGCCGCTAAGGTTAGTATTTCAAGAATAATTCAACAAAAAGTTATCTTTCAAACCGTTTTTTTGCGAAACTCCTAGACAAAATATAGTTCTGTGCTCAACTTTCTACAGTTCTCGCTGATTTCGCTCTTTTCAGTACTTTGAAACAATGAAAAAATTTGAAACTTTCATTGAAAAGTTACCCTTCCTCTGAAACAAGCTTCTAGATCGACGCGGGTTGACCAAAACTTCTTGTCATACAATTTCCATATATGAGAAACTTCTTTGCATACAATTCCATACAATTCCATAAGTACAGAAGATCGCATAAAATGTCGAAGACCTTAGTTTACTCAGAGTACCAAATGCTGGACGGACTTGCATTTACAATGCATAAAAAATAACCTGTATTGCCCTGGAGCTGTCTTTCACAAATGATATAACGAGTTTTTTCAATGACGAGTATTTTAAAAATTTGAATTGTTAAGCTATCAGACAATGATCAAGGCATGACCAAATACGCTATACAAAAGAAATACTAGTTTTCAGCGTTTTGAAAAAAGTTATTCAGCGAAAAGGAAAAAAAATCCAAGATTAGTGTATCCACGACTACGTTATTCACGCAAAAAAAAATAAATTTTGCATGAAAAAAAAAATTTTGGAAAAGTTTTATTTGCGGTGCAAAAACCAATTTGCGGAGTTTGAATAAACCAAACAAAAATTAGGGAAATTTCTAAATTATTTGGAAAAAGTTTTGTGTTGCTATCAAAAAATGCAAGTTATACAATTTTCATATATGGGAATTGTAAGATGAGCATTTTTTTTGAACAACAAAAACCTCAGTTTTTTTATCACCGGACTGTTTTATTAGAATCAAACGGCCGCAGAAATCAGTTTAAATCTTTTTTCAACACTTTTTGTATGATAAGCATTTTCGCTGCATTGGTGTCAACCCAGGTTTGCAGTAAGTAGTTCTATCTACTATAAGGGAAGTATTAAAAATTGTATAGACTGATTTTTAAATTAACAGATAATTTTTGATATCGTTAGAGCATTTTAAGCAGTTAATAACCCTATTTTGATTCTAAAACAGGAGTATCCGACGAGAATGAGAAGAAATAAAAAAAGAAGGCCCGTCAATCAGGTTGCTATGATAATTGAAAAACTTTATGGTGCTGAGATTAGGTAGTAAAAATAAGTCGAAAACATTTCGAAATAAGTCGAACTGGTCTTGTTTTAGGACTTTTTAGATTTTTTTCAAGTATTTAAGATACAGGGCAAAATTTTGACGAACGCTATTTCAAACCTGGCGCAAAAAACAACCTAGCGCTCGTCAAACAACATAATAGCAAGTTCTGGAAAGTGGGGAATAAAAATTGGACTATACTTAGGCAGGCTGGATGGCTTTTCACAGATTCTCTGCAAATCACAAAAAAAACGCAATTTTTATTATTAAAGATGTAGAAAAACTTCGGTGATGTAGACTTGTGGTTTGTAAGCGTTAAAAAGTCAAGATAATATACCAAATCAGAAAGATGATTCTTTGATTGAAACATCCTCATTGATAAAAATTTCAAATTCTTAGAATTCTTTTGATTTTTCAAATTTAGTTTCAATTCAAAAACATTCTTGGAGAAGTCAATGATCTCAGTTTGTTTCTTTTGAAGCGCAAAAACAAGAGAGCTGAAAATTTTACTTGGCGTGCCCTCAAAATTTTGACAAACCAGTAGTTAGGACGATTCTGCGGATTCATTGTTTTGATCGCTTATGTCATCAGACAGGAAAATTTACCAAAATAACATAACAGCCTGTTGTAACTCTAAGCATCAGTTGTATTAATCGGACATTCGCAAGATTTGTCAGCACAATTTTTCTGTTATTAAATGTTTTTTATCGGAATGGGTATACTAAAAAAAACCGCCTTAAAATTTGTTTTAACTCTATTATCTATTGACTTTGCGCTGAAAAAAAAGTAAGCAAGTGTTTTAAGGATTCCAAAAAAATTATTCCGTAAATACAAACTCGTTGTACTTCTTATGAAAAAGTTCAACAATTAGATAAGTTCATTAGCAGTGTTTTTGACAATAATTCTGTCCAGTGCACAACTCTCCCAAATTAAGTTCCTGATTTAGTTCAAATATTTTCTAGTTCGGTTCTCGGCTCAGTTTTGTTAGAAAGCAAAGAATACACCCTAAAAAAGTTTATAAAAATTGTATTACTTGTGGCAAAAATACCAAAAATGAACTAAAACAAACTAACCAAATTTCCCGCACTGACAGAAAAGGTTTCCGTTCGATTTAAATCGATTTTAAATCGATCCCAATCGATTAACCATGTACATTTTACGAACTTAAATGGATTTTAAATTGATTCAAACCGATCTTTTTGAAAAATTTAAATCGATATAAGTGTCTAAAAAATCGATTTGAATCGATTTCGATGGATTTTCCGACTCACTAAAATCCATCCGAATCTCACTTAAATCCATCAGAATCTATCTCACTTAAATCTATTTTAAATCGATCTAAATCGATCTTTTTGAAAGTTTTAAATCAATTTAAGTGTCTAAAAATCGGTTTAAATCGATTTTGATGGATTTTCCGACACACTAAAATCATTTTTTTTGCTAACACGGCGAAAAAAACATACCCCTTAAAAAATTGTTGGAATTTTTTATTCTCGATTTTTTAAACATAAACTCTCTTGCCAGATGTATAGAATTCTTTAGAATGATCCACATAAATCAGGTTTTAAACTCAAAAATTTGCAATAAAATCATAGAAAACCATTGTAAATCAGATTATGGGCAAAATCTTGTGTAACAGACCAGAAAAGGGTCAGGTAAAACTAAATTGTGATCTCAATATTATGCAATAAAAACATAGAAAAACAGGAGAGTAAATCAGATTTTAAGCAACCACTTATGAAACGAATCAAGAAAAGGGTAAATAAAGATCCGTTTTTGAACTCAAAATACGCAAGAAAATCATAAAATTCTATCGATATTTTGGTCTTTTTATTTGGTCTTTTTTATGCTACAGTACGCTATGGATGAAAAACGGAAATTGATAGGCAAAAATTAAACGCAATATAAATTTGAAACTGATAAAACTCGAATGAAAAAAAAATCGATTTAAATTGATTCAAATCCGTTTTAATCCCCTCAAAAATGAAAACAAATTCAGACGTGAAAAATGCATTTAAATTGATTTAAAATTGATTTGTATCATTTTTTAAGCTGGGATTTAAGATCAATTTAAATCGATTTTAAATCGATCCAAATCAATCTTCATCTTTTTTTTTAATCCTCGTACTTTTTTCATACTAAAATTGATCTAAATTTAATCAACGTACTTTTTTCACACTAAAATCGATCTAAATTTGATCAACGTACTTTTTTCATACTAAAATCAATCTTAAACCATTTTTGTCAGTGCGGGTTGCCACGATGCTTGAAATTCTATTCAGAATTGTGTTGCAAAAATTGCAGCATCGGCTAGCCTGCAATCAGTGGACTAGTTTAACTGCGAGGTTTTTATGAGGTTTAACTGCGAGGTTTTTACCAAAAATTCAAATGAATTCTACACAACGCTGGTAACAGATATGTTTCGGAGCTCGCAACATTCATATTTTTTGTTGATATTCTTTGCTGCTTTGGAGATCGCGAACGAATAGCTATAACAATGTATTGTCAAAAATAGCTTTAAAAACCGGTACTCCGTAGTTTTATGGAATCCAGAGGAAGTTGCTATACTCACTCATTGTGGCGACAAAACTATTACGCCGTCACATTTTACGTTGACTTACTTTGTGCGCGGAAATTACGGAAGTTTTGTAAGTGAAATCCATTTACATTTTGTGAAATGCTTAAAGACTTGTCTCTGGTTTCCAGTGATCTACAGGCACAAAAATATGGGCCTATCTAGTGCACAGTTTGGCCTCGTAATGTTAAACGAAAACACTAAAAACACATAAGAAGTTGTAATAACTGTGAAAGTTATAGCAAAATTGACAAATAATTAATTATTCGATTTTGCCCGGGTGTCGATATTTTGGTCTTTTTATTTGGTCTTTTTTATGCTACAGTACGCTATGGATGAAAAACGGAAATTGATAGGCAAAAATTAAACGCAATATAAATTTGAAACTGATAAAACTCGAATGAAAAAAAAATCGATTTAAATTGATTCAAATCCGTTTTAATCCCCTCAAAAATGAAAACAAATTCAGACGTGAAAAATGCATTTAAATTGATTTAAAATTGATTTGTATCATTTTTTAAGCTGGGATTTAAGATCAATTTAAATCGATTTTAAATCGATCCAAATCAATCTTCATCTTTTTTTTAATCCTCGTACTTTTTTCATACTAAAATTGATCTATATTTAATCAACGTACTTTTTTCACACTAAAATCGATCTAAATTTGATCAACGTACTTTTTTCATACTAAAATCAATCTTAAACCATTTTTGTCAGTGCGGGTTGCCACGATGCTTGAAATTCTATTCAGAATTGTGTTGCAAAAATTGCAGCATCGGCTAGCCTGCAATCAGTGGACTAGTTTAACTGCGAGGTTTTTATGAGGTTTAACTGCGAGGTTTTTACCAAAAATTCAAATGAATTCTACACAACGCTGGTAACAGATATGTTTCGGAGCTCGCAACATTCATATTTTTTGTTGATATTCTTTGCTGCTTTGGAGATCGCGAACGAATAGCTATAACAATGTATTGTCAAAAATAGCTTTAAAAACCGGTACTCCGTAGTTTTATGGAATCCAGAGGAAGTGGCTATACTCACTCATTGTGGCGACAAAACTATTACGCCGTCACATTTTACGTTGACTTACTTTGTGCGCGGAAATTACGGAAGTTTTGTAAGTGAAATCCATTTACATTTTGTGAAATGCTTAAAGACTTGTCTCTGGTTTCCAGTGATCTACAGGCACAAAAATATGGGCCTATCTAGTGCACAGTTTGGCCTCGTAATGTTAAACGAAAACACTAAAAACACATAAGAAGTTGTAATAAC